TATTAATTTATTTGACAGAGATCACAGGTAGGCAGAGAGGCAAGCATAGAGAGAGGGGGAAGCAGGCTCCCTGCTGAGCAGAAAGCCCAATGCGGGGCTCGATCCCAGGACCCCGAGATCATGACCTGAGCCGAAGGGAGACGTTTAACTGACTGAGCCACCCAGGCGCCCCACCAATAATAACGTTTTGCATAAAACCAGAAAATTGACATTGATATAATCCAGTTTTCACCAGTTTTACATCCACCCATTTGTGTGTATTTGTAGTTGTCAGTTTCATTACTTATATAAATAACCACACTATAATCAAGATACAGAACCACTGCATTGCCACAAAGATCTTATCCCTGCTACCCCTTTATAGTCACACATACACACACCCTTGTTCCACCATCCCCAACCCCTAGCAACCACTAATGTATTCTCCATCTCTCCTAATATTGATTATATATATATATATATATATATATATCTCCTTTGTGATTGGCTTTTTTCACTCACCATAATTGCCTTGAGATCCATCCAAGTTGTTGCATGTATCAATAGTTCCTTTTTTTTAAGTGAACTCTACACCAAATGTGGGGTTTGAACTCATGACCTCAAGAGTTGCACGCTCACTGAGTGAGCGTGCCAGCCAGGCACCCCTAGTTTGTTCCTTTTTATTGCTAAGTAGTATTCTGTGATCTGGATGGATCACAATTCAACCATTTGCTCACTGAAGGATGTGTACATTGTTCTTTCTTTGGGGTGATTATGAGTAAAGCAGCTATGAACATTTATGTATGTGTTTTAGTGTGGACATGTTTTCATTTTTCTGGGATAAATGCCCAGGAGCGCTGGGTCATGTAATAAGTATATATTTAGTTTTAGAGGAAACTGCCAGGCTGTCACCATGGTGAAGCTGAGCAGAGAGGCCAAGCAGAGGCTGCAGCAGCCCTTCAAGGGAGGCCAGTTTGCCAGCCTCTGGAACCTTATTCCTCTCATGATTTGCCTGGGATTTAGAAGGGTTGCAGATCCTGGAATGTCTAAGCCAACCCTTTTTAGTTTACTCAGGGGATAAAGAACCATTTGGTCATCTGGATTTGGAAGCAGTTAATGGACAGGAACAACATGGAAGGTGTGTGTGGTGGCTGGGATAAAAGATAGGACATCCTTTAGATGCTCATCAGTTGAATGGTACAGGGCTCTTCACAGATGCTTCAGTGGCAGAGTGGAACCTCTAGTGACTTATTTATCATAGATTGTATCAAACACTTGCCAGACTATATTCCAGAGTGGCTGTACTATTTAGTATTCCCATCTGCGATGTAGGAGAAATCGATGGAGGAGGATGCAATGCATCCTCACCAGAATTTGATATTGACACTATTTATTATTTTCGTTGTTTTTACAGGTGTGTAATAATCTTATTGTGGTTGAATTTGCATTTCCCTAATAGCTTATGGTGGTGAACAAATGAAATATCCTCTTTGTTTAATGTGTTCATGTCTTTTGCCCATATTCTCATTGGACTGTCTTTTTTCTTGAGTTTTGAGAGTTCTTTATTTATCTGACATGAGTCATTTCTCATATATGTGACTTGCAAATTAAGCATTTAATTTCTGGTGAAGACTAGACTAGTTTACTACTTTTCTCTTTTATGGATTGCTTTCAGTGTCATGTCTAAGATCTCTTCACTTCACTGTAGGTCCTAATGAAGATTTTCACTTGTTTTCTTCTAAATGTTTTCCACTTTTATGTTTTACCTTTTTTTTTTTTTTAAGACTTTATTTATTAGAGAGAGAGAGCGCGCAGAAGCAAGGGGAGTAGCAGGGAGAGGGAGAGGGAGAAGCAGGCTCCCCGCTGAGGGACTCGATCCCAGGACTCTGAGATCATGACCCGAGCTGAAGGCAGATGCTTAACTGAATGAGCCACCCAGGTGCCCCTATGTTTTACCTTTAAATCTTTGATCTGTTTTGAGTTCATTTTTGTATTGTGACTTAAGTTTCTTTTTAATTTTTCTAGTGGATGTTCAGCTACTCCAGTATTATTTATTGAAAAGCTTATCTTTCATTGAATGCTCAAAAATTAGCTGGCCTTACTTGTGCAGGTCTCTTTCTGGAATCTTCTTTCTGTTCCGCTGATCTACTTGTTTGTCCCTCTGCCACATTGTCTTAATGCAGATCTACAGTAACTCTTAAAATCAGGTATCGTGATTATTCTCACTTTCTTGTTTTTCAAAGTTATCTTAGCTGCTTGTTTCTTTGCCTTTTCATATGAATTTTGAAGAATGTCATCTCACACACACACACAAAAAAACCTGCCAGAATTTTGATAGGAATCGCATTAATCTATAGATCAGTATGGGAAGAAATCACATCTTAACCTATTGCTGAGTCTTCTAATTCCAGAACATGACATGTTTCTCCATTTATATAGGTCTTTGGTTTCTTTTTTTTTTTTTTTAAGTTTTTTTTTTTTTTTAGGTCTTTGGTTTCTTTTATCCAGTATTTATTAATTTTCAACATACAAATCTCATTTTGTTAGTTAGGTTTCACCTTTTGAGTGACTCTGTAGTTTTAAATTTTGATTTTCATGTGTTCATTGCTACTATATAGACTATAATTAATTTTTGTATATTCATCTTGTGACCTATGACCTGATGAACTCATTTAGTTCCATTTTTCTAGATTCCTTGGGATTTTCAAAATCTCCATGGGATTTTGATTATTTATAGTCATCAAATTTATAAATAGGGACAATTTTCTTTTCAGTATCTTATGTTTAATTTTATTTTCTTTTTTTGGCCTTATCTTATTGTGCTCGCTAGGACTTCCAATAGGATATTGAAAAGGAGTGGTGAGAGTGGATATTCTTGCCTTGTCCTGATCTCAAGGGTGAGGCACCTAGTCTTTCACCACCATTACATTGTTAGCTGTTGAGTTTTTTGTAGATGTTACTTACCAGGTTGAGGAAGTTATCTTATTTCTAGCTTGCTGAGAGTTACTATCATGAATAAATGTTCAATTTTGCCAAGTTTCTTTTTTTTAAATCAACTGATAAGATCATCAGCTTTCCTATAAGTTTTTTTTTTTTTAATACTGGAAAAAGCTTAGAGACTTCCCTAGACTTCAGACTAGGGCCCTGGAACTCCATCCCTATCACTGGTCTAGTCCAGCACTTCCCAGTGTGCCCCCAGAGAATGCAATTTGAGCACTACATTTAGCCAGACAAGCCCAATATGGCAAGTGCTGCTCACAGTATCCATTTCTAGAGGCTTATAACACTCATTAGCATAACCAAGGCTCAGAGAAGCCCTGCGGAATAGGCTCCTATTACCTTTAGTGTGGAATTTCCCAAACTTGTTTAACAGAGCCCTTCTTAACTCCCCCTTATGCTCTCATAGCCCTGTCTCTGAGACACATGGAACTACTCAACTAATTGTCCCTTTTTGCAGTTGATCCAGAGGCTGAAAGAGAAGTGACCTGATCAAGGCTACAGATAGTGGCATCACACAGACACCAGGTCCTGGGTTTCCTGACCCCAGCCCACTGCTCCTGCTCCAGATCATGTTGCTTTGACATGCTAACAATCAGCTGATATTCTTGCAGCACCATACACCATCATGGGTTAAGAGTTATGTAACCGTGTCACCAACCTGGTCCCCTGGGAGGTTCTCAGGCCCCTAGTCCCCACTGAGCCTGGAGATGAGGGACTCAAGTCCAGGTAGTCTTAGTAGTGCCGGGGTGTGGAAGGGTATGTAATGCAAGTTGGGCTGATCACGCTGGTGTAGCTCCCATATGGTAATGAATGGCTCAGGGATGCACCCACAATCCAAACCACGTCTAACAAGACTCCATCCCAGAAACATCATTAGAATTCCAGGGAAAAAATGGTTTTCCCATGGAATGATGCTAAACTAGAAGAAACTGAACTAGAGCTGCCAAGAACCACCACACAGAAGCAGCTCCTTCAAAACAAAATTGTAAAATGAAGGAGACAGGAGACCTTGGTTTATAACATGCCCGAGCCCAATCCAGTCACGCCTGACGCAGAACCTACCTCCAGAATTGAAATGAGAGACCAACAAGTGACGGTTGCCTAAAACCAGTTTCATGGAATCCTGCCACTTGCCAACAGAATCCTGCCTAATTTGAGTGTGAAGCAGATGGCCCAGAATGTCATCACTAACCTGGCTTGGCAGACCCTCTTTTTTTAATTTTATTTTATTTTATTTATTTATTTGCGAGAGAATGAGTGAGAGAGAGCATGAGAGAGAAAGTCAGAGGGAGAAGCAGACTCCTCAAGGAGCTGGGAGCCCGATGCGGGACTCGATCCTGGAAGTCCGGGATCATGACCTGAGCCGAAGGCAGTCGCTCAACCAACCAACCAACCAACCAACCCTTGGCAGACCCTCTTGATCAGGAGGTACCCCCAAGGTGCCACAGCAGAGAACAGTCTTTTCTGCCCACCTCATCCCTATCCCCTACCCACTCTCAGACTGACATTACCCCCACTTCCCACAGAAAGAACACAGGTAGCCAAAGGCAGCTTGGGCAATACTTGATATACATCATACATTTATTAGTGAATATCCCTCTGAAATCAGCAACAATATTAAAAAAAATAATGATTGCACTACTTGGTCAAGCAGAACTAGCAACTTTCATTTTAAAAAAAGTACAAATCTGTTAAAAATTTCAATCAGTATACACATATATATAATACAACATACTAGTTATGTTAAATGCTACAAACCAATGTGAATCCAATGGAATGGAAAAAACCACACATTTAAGCTTTAAGAACCATTTTTTTTCTCTATATATTAGCATTTTCTCAAATACATACGTGGGAAAAATGAGGTAACTGTAAAATGTGCAAGGAACAGGGCCCCCCAAATTACATTTATTTTTATATATATATATGTAATTTTATATATATATATGTGTGTGTGTGTGTGTGTGTGTGTGTGTATATATATATAAATATATATATATATATATATATATTTACACACACACATATACATAAAACACCTTTCTAACACAGAACACAGGTGCTGGGCCCAGCCAGGGCTGGGGGATGGTGCCCACTGTCATGCCTAGGCCAGAAGTTGGTAAATAAAAGAGTAAACAATGACAAGCCCCCACCACAGGAAATCATTGGTAACATGGCATCTATAGCAAGGTCGGCAAATCACAAACATCCTAAATAATTGTTTTATAAATCTTTTTTTTAATGATTTTTTTAAAATGTTGTGTTCCCCCCCCAGAGCTGCTCGTCGGAATGACTGCTGCAGCCAACACACAACCCGTGAGCCTGTTTCCACCCGCCCCAGGAACCTTGAGGATCTGGAAAACCTTTTGTCGGGGTGGGAAAGGGAGGGGGGGGTTTGGAGAGGGTGGTTCTCTGTAAAACACATGGGGTTTCAACACTGCTATAAATATAGAAACATCACCTGGAGTTATATACAGTAAGACTTTGGGTTCTCCATGGGGGTGGGGCCAGGCTGATGGGGCCCCATGGCAGGCTGAGGGGAGGCAGGGAGCCAGGGCCGCTGCAGGAAGAACGAGGGTGGTTGGAGCATCCCTGAGGCAGCAGGCGCCAGGGGCTGCCTGCTAGGATGTGCCGGCCCCACACGCGGTTCGTTCGGGGCAGCAACCCCAGCTGGGGGTAGGACAGGAAAGGAATGGGACTAGGGAAAGAGAAGATGGGAGTTCAGCCAGACCCTACCGGGGACCTCCTCCAGACCTTGGAGGGCAGGGCTCAGGCTGGGAGGAGGCCCCTGGAGGTGGGGTCCACGCCCTCCCTGGTCCCTGTCCTCCTGGGACTTCCTTGGAGGAGACTTGCCCCGTCAGGTGGGAGACGGGCCCTGGCTGGAGGGAGAAATGCCCTGAAAAGCGTACGGTCCCGGTAGGCTCTGGGGACGTGTGCAGTACAGTGCATGGCAGTTATCAGCTGAGCACAGACCACCCCCCAACCCCAGCCCTGACTGCCAGCCGCCCAGCCCAACCCCAGCCGCACACATGCATGCAGACCAGGCGGCACCACCAGACCATTCCCGGCCCCCTGGGCGCTTGGTCCTGGTTGGTCCCTATATCCCCCATTAAACCAAAAGGAAACAAATTATTTAAAAATCCACACCCCCAAATCCTACACGCGATTTTGGGCCAAATGAATAAACAAAAACTGCTGCTCCTCACGTTCATGCAAAACAACAGAAAGGGGAGATTGGGCGTGTGTCTGGCTGCCGTCACTGCCAGGAAGGGGTGGCCGCCAGGAACACAGGAGGTCACATCTCCCCTGCATGGCCCAGGCCCCCTCAGGTCACAGGCCACCCCAGCTCAGGGCTTGTCTCCCATCTGCTCAGGAGGCTGGCTCTGATACCCTCCAGCCTGGGGGTGGGCTGGAATGTTGTGACTGGGGTGAGGGTCCTTGAGGGAGCCAACCCTCACAGCAGCCTGGGTAGGGCTGGCTGCCTGAGTCTGTCTGGGGTGAAGGCAGGAGGACCCAGGCCTGGGGCTCAGGAAATGGCCTCATGCTACCTTCTGTCCGCACGCCTGTCAGACAGCATACCATTTCAGTGCAAGAGACCAGGCAACCCAGGATGGAGCCCCCTTTGCCCATTCTGGGACTGAGGATCTCCCCCAGCTGCACTCGGGATGGGGGGTGGGGGGATGGACTCCCGGCTCCCAGGGCTGGCAGGAAAAGGAGACAGACTTGAGGGCAAACAGGAGGGAGACTGAGTGAAGGGAACTCAGGCAGCTCCGTGGTGGGCAGACTGGCAGGCAGATGGGGCGGGAGTCTTTGGAGCTTGGCAAATGCAGGGGCTTATTGCAGGGACTTCTCTCAGGGCTGACCTGGCACCAGCTCCGGAGATGCAGGCAGGAGTGACGGGGCAGGCCTGGGCCACTCCCTCCCCGTCCTCCCCAGGTCCCCTCAACCCGAGCTTCCAGAGCTTCGGGCAGGGTTATCCTGGGCGGCTGTGAGCCTCACTCAGCCTCCCTGGGCACCTCGGAGGCATCGGCCCGGCAAATGGGACACGTCCGGTTAGCCTGGGGGAGCAGCCACACATCAGGCTCCACTCTTGCCTGTCCCCCACCCCAGCTGGGTCTATTCTGCCTCTGAGACCTGATCCCTGAACAGAGCCTGAACTGCTACATGATGACAAGGGAAACCCTCCAACGTCCACCCCCCTCCCTTACCACATAATGAACACCTGGAATCTGGCCTGGGTCGCATTACCTTTAACCACTTGTCAACACACTTGGTGTGGAACTCATGGTTGCAGGGCAGGACTCGCAGCAGCTGCCGTGCCTCGAAGTCACTGAAGCAGACAACACACCTGGGAGGGGGCACAGAGCGTCATTGATGGCAGGGGGAGGCTCATCACATAGTACAAAACCCCCTGGAGAAAGGGGTCCCCTTGTAGTCTCCCTGTGCTCACAGAGGGGCAGGAGATAGGGGCACAGCACTCACAGTGTCTGCTCTGACTGATGGCTGTCTGGGTTAAAGCGGTACGACGGGAGCTGCTCGATGTCCGCTTTGGTGAGGCCTCGGGGCTTGGCATCTCCTAGCCGCTCTGCCAGGTTCAGGAGGGCCTGTATCCAGGCAGGAAGGGAAGGTCATTAATGCTCAGGGCTGGAGGTCCCCCAGGCTCCCACCTCCCAGGACAGTGTTCCACGGGACCTCATAGTTCTCCATCTCCACGTCATCCACATCGAGATCCAGGCTGATGGTGGGCCCCATTGCTGTTGGTGACATTGGCAGCATCGAGCTAGGGGAGGGGGAGACAGGTGTGGGGGGCCCAGGGTCAAGGTCAGTAGGTGTAGGGGGTGCAGAGCTGCTCCCGACTCCCTCTGTGAAATAAAGCCCAGAGCTCTGCACCGTTCACACCAGGGACTCCAGCGTTTGTCCCAGGACATTGTAGGAGGGCCAGGAACCCAGTTGGTGAGTGTTGAGAATGTATATGGTTTGGTGGGGATGCCAGATGGCTTTAGAGGCCCCAGGCACCCCATGGGTCTTTGTTTGGGTCCAACCACTGGAGGCCCCAGGAGACCACAGCACCATGGCTCTGGGGCAGATGTGCTGGTACTTACAGGAAGTAGGGCAGGAAGCTGGGGTAATACGGTGGCGGGGGCGGCGGTGGGGGTGGCGGGGGCAGCGGCTGTTGCAGGCGGTATCTCTGAGTGCTCAGTCTCCGTGGCATCACGTGGGAATATGGCTACGAGAGGGGTGCCAGGTGCAGGTCAGCCCAGTGGACCTGTCTCCCGATCACTCTAGAGTCTGGCTGGGGACGGTACTTACCACACCGAAGGACAGCTCCTGGTGCAGTGGATCGTGGGGCAGGTAGTGCAGGGGCACAGATGGGGACAGGGCTGGGCCTGGGGCAGAGGTGGAGTAGGTGAAGCTCCCCAAGGGGTGCTGGTCCCCCCGCAGGTCCACATCGTTGTCAAGCCGCTGCAGAGGCTGGAAGAAGCGGGGGGGTGGTGGGGGGCAGTGGGCAGCCAGACTCACTAACAAGGGAAGCCATGGCCCCCATGCCATCCCCTAGAGCATCAAACCCATTGCCCGGACTCACCATCCGCGGGTGCTGGGCCTGCAGCGATACAAACTGCCCAAGAGGTGCCATGTGGGCAGGCTGGGGGTGTGGGGCTGGCGGTGGGGGATGCAGGATGTAGTGGTCACTGGAGATGAGGTGAGGGTAGGCCTGATAGGGCACGGGGAGCTGCTGCATGGTACACGCCTGGATCAGCTGCCAAGAGAGGGAGGGGGTAGGGGGCTGCAGAATGTTCTAGGCTCTGGGTTGCGCCTATGCCTGGGCCAGGGGCCATTCCACCCATTGAGAGGTGACTTCACTGAAGCCTTCTGGCCCCTCCTACCCCTGCCAGAGGCCACCCAGGCAGGACACTACACTCTTTTAAGGTCCACAGTTATAATTCCAAACCATAAGGTAGGCACTGGGGTGGGAAGGTCCCTGAACCCTGAGGTGCTCTCACTATCCGCGAATGTACACGTGCCTTTCTGGGCAGGGTGGAAGCCTGGAGCTGGGTAGGCGCTCTGATAGTGTGGATGGGTGTCATAAGCTCAGTTTGCTTTTGCTGCTGGCCTTGTCTGGGGCTTTCAAGTGGGGATGGGGCAGGAGGTGGAGGCACTCACTCACCGGGGGTGGGAGGCAGCAGAGGGGGTAGTGCTGCCCACTGAACATCACGGAGCATGCTGGGAGCTGCTGGGCACTGCAGCCAGGGATGTGTTGGCTTGTAGGCAAGGGAAAGCCTTGGGTTGTCACTGTCGTGACTGTGTAGGACAGAGGGACAGGTCCCTGGTGCACCTGTGAGCAGAGAGAAACCTGGGAAGTGTACGGAGGAAATAGCCATGCTGCTGCCCTCAAATGAGAAAGCCCTGCTGGGCCACCTCCCTTCTCTTCTCTAGCTGGGGCCTACCTAGGTACCCACCTGCGGATACTCCTTGTCCCAAGCCCTAGAGGGCAGAGAGAACCCTCTGGGAACCTGGGAGGGGCTTCCAACTCTACCACTCACCCACTGTGTAGTCCTAAGGAAGGCCCTTCCCTTCTCTGGGCCTTAATTTACCAACCTGTAAAACAGGGCTAGTAACGCCTCACTGAACATGCAATGAGTAAAGCAAGGGGAAATCAGGGTTCTGCTACCTCTGGTCCTCAGACAGGCTTGCCAGAGGCTGGTGGGGAGGGGCCAGCAGGGTGGGGAAATGGAGGTGATGGGTATTCTGCCTACCTGCTCGTGGAGATCAACCATGAACGGGCTCTGTTGGGAGGCTGGGTGCAGCATTCGGGGGCTCCTGCCGGCAGGAGCCGAGGCTCGGTGCTCCTCTACAGGGAGGTGTGGTGGTCGGGGTGGTGGCTGCTGGGAGGGTAAGCGCTCATCCTGGGCAGGCAGGCTGGCCAGGGGGCCCTCGCGGCTGGGGCTGCACCACAGAGAGGAGGCCCCAGTAGGACTGAGGGGAGCCACTCATTCAGAGAGCCACTCATTCAGAGAGAAGCCAAGGTCACTACCCACTAGGGAAGGAAGACCGCTCAGGGCCCTGTGCCCTGCCACCCCTGGCCCCTATGCCCCAACCCAAGCTGACAGCGCTGGTACCAGGGGTTCTAAGCTCTGTAGGACTAGGAGGTTCCTTCCTACCTTCCCCGGAGCTGGCCCGGGGTAGTGCCGGGTCCTACAGAGAATCGCCGCTGACCCACAGGGGCAGAGGGTGGCCACCTAGACACTGCCAGAGCCCATGGTCGCATCAGGGGTGGCAGAGGGGTGGAGGGGCTGGGCCAGGGCTCACAACCCTAGGAAGCAAACAGAAGGCACACAGAAGTCCAGTCACTTGTCCCATTAGGAATTGTGGAGACAGAATCAAACCTCAGCAGTCTGATTCTAAGGGCTACTGATGTCCACCACACCCCTGTACTCCATGCGCAGTGTGCACTCTGGGACTGGCCTTCTTCTTGGGCACTGGGGATCCAGGATGACAGATCAGGGATAGGGAGCCCAGGTTTCAGTTTCCTGCTCTATGAAATGGAATCAAGTTCCCTTTTAGGGTTGTGGTGAGTTAAGAGGGCTGGCCAGCATGCTTCCAGGCCAGGTGGCTCCACTAAGGTTCCCTCAAGCTGGGGTCCCCAGGGATCCCTGTTCTGGTGTGGTGGTCAATAACTTCAACCTCCAGGAAGCAGGGGGTCCCTGGGAGGGCACTCCAGCTTCCTCCATTCCATTGTGTTGGCTCTAGGGGGACTCCAATCAGGCCTTCTCTTTCCACTATTGCCAGGTAAGAGGTTCTGACCCAGTTCCTGCCCTCAGGGGTTCTCAATTCAAGTCAGCTTTCTTTCTTTCCATAATCAGCTGCCACAGGCCTACCCACATGTGACTTCATCTACTCTTCAAGGTCCATTTCACGGAATAGAAAACTGAGGGTCAATGGGATTGAAAGAGACTTGCCCAAGTGTCAAAGCTGGGAGTGAGCTGGCCACAAGCCTCTCACGGCACCCTGCTGCTAGCAAGAGGGGTCCAGCCCAAGCGCTCTGCAGGAGGTGAGGAAGGAAGTGGCCACTGGTGGGTGGGTGCATCTGGCATACAGCCAGGCCCTTGTTCTGGGGGCCTAACACAGCCCCCAAGTGGTGGTGGGGCTTGCTGAGAAAAAAGGGGAAGCAAGAACCTAGAGGAGGAAGTTGAGTGGGAATGGGGTGGGGCAGGTCTCCTCCCTCGGGTAGGAGTTGGGGGCCCAGGTGGGATAAGCTGGGGGGACCATTTATTAACTCCAGAGGCTGGGATGAGGCCCTGGCGGAGAAAACTCTGGAACCTGTCAGGCCCTGCAAAGCTGAAGGGTGCATCAAATAGGACCAGCCCTTTGCTGTTCCTGCCACAGGGAGGCCTCCTCCATCCGCCCCTTCTCCATCTGACAGAACTCCTATGCATCTCTGATACCCAGCTTTCAGTGTTCCCTCCCTGCTGACAGCTGGGGAGCCAGTGTATCATACCCTCAATACCTGGTTCCTTCCTGCCAGCAGTGGCAAGAACACCTCCTCTGTGCTCAGCTTTACAAGCCGGGGCCCTAACTCTCATAGCCAGCGTCCAGGGGAAGCTCTTCACTTGCTGGGACAGCACCTGGCCATGGCCACAGCCAGGCGTGTAAGAGCTGGAATTCACATTTCTCCTGCCTAACCTGGGTTCTGGCCCTTGGCAGAAGGGCGGGCAGAGCCCAGTGACCAGCCTGTGTCCAGCAATGATGTGGTAAATGTACACTCGAGAGCCCATCACACAGTCTGGCAGGAGGGAAACTGGTGCCCATGATTAAAAATTGGGAGATTACATAAAAATCTGTTCCTTCCTGAGAGGAAAAAAAAGCAGAAAATCTGGTCCCACTAGGCCCTCATTTCTGCTTGGTTCCTCTCACTGGAGCGGGAGCTTTCTCTCCAGGCCACCGAAAGCCCATTCTCTACCTGCCCACCGTAGGTAACTAGGTTTGTAACCCCTGGGGTGAGCCGAGTGTACATCCTTCACACATGTGTACACCCACAGCCTTCCTGATTCTTGCTGACAATCCAGCCTAGCAAAAAGGCCAGGGCAGACTCCTAGTATACCCCTAAATATCTGAAATGAGAGACTCCTAGGCCACTCCAGACCTTCTGGATCAGAATCTTTGGAGGGTTGGGGAACAAAGACATCGAGATATTTTACCAAATTCCCCAGCAGTTTCTATGGCACAGCCAGGTTTGAGCACCTCTGCTCTAACTGACCTCGGAGATCCTGGGAGCCGACAGTCCTGCTGATAAAGAATATTAACAGTAATGACTATGGCACTTCTCACATGCCATCCTGAGTCCTCATAGCAACCCTCAGATGTAAGGACACTGAGGCTCAGCGAGGTGAGGTCCAGAGCCTGTCAGCCAGAGCTGTGAGTGCACTAGGACATGGCCCAGGCAGCATCTTCAATGGCTCCAGGCTGCCTTGCTGAAGTCTGTAGGATGTGGATGGCATCGGGGCTCAGGCACATGGGAATCTGCTCTGGTCAGCCCCTTCAAAAACACCCATTCCTCAGGAAAGGGAAGTGGCAAGGAGCTGAGAAACCAAACCAGCAGACCAAAGGGCCTCCCGCTGTAGATGACTGTGATAAGTTTTAAGTGTCAACCCTTGCATTCTTCTACACGATACCCCAACTCTGGCCACAGTCCTGGCTGAGGATTGGGCGCATCACTTCCCCTCTCAGCCTCCGCTTCTTCACCTGTAAGATGGAACAGCCAGATAACCACCTGAAAGGGGACTGGCAAGGACTGCACAAAGGAAAGGTGATTTCTAAAGCGCATGTGTGAGTGATCACTATTAGAAATTAAGAGAAGCTAACCTCCACTCTCACCCTCACAAACAGAAATCAGGTGCCACTTCAAGCTCTCCAAGAGATACTGGGAAATATGCCTCCCTAGGGGAAACCCCAGCTGGCAAGGGAAGGACCCCTGGTTCTTGGAAGTCCTACTAAGAACAGAGGTTGTGCGGAAGGGACACACCCACTTCACAGTTGAGGAAACTGAGACCCAGAGAAAGGAAGTAACTTGCTCTAGCCGGCAAAGCCAGAGAGAGACAGAACTAGTTCTACCTTGCTGGCCACCAAGGCTCAGATCCCCCAACCCCTGACACTCTCATTAGCATCAGTAGCCCCCAAACCCACCTAATCCCAACTAATTTCAGTCCCTAAAGGGGATCAAGAGTTTTCTGTTTTAGGCACTCATGACTATTGTGGTGAATGAAGCAAGTTGAGACCCAGAGTTGGAGGAAGCAATTTGCTCAAGGTCAAACTGCAAGGGTGGCCAGGTGACCACCCCCAATTTCTGTAATTCCATAGTCCTTGGTGCTGCACTTTCAATGAGGTGTGGATAAATGGGTCTGCAGGGTCCCATCCCTAAACCCAATCTTGCCTGGAAGCAGGCACCACACTTTGCAGCCACCTCTTTCCCCAGGAGGCAGCCAACTCCCTACTTCCAGTGCCCCATGCAGCTATTCCAGTCCAAGTCTAGGGAACCCCTGCCAAGTCATTTGCCCTGGGGATGTCTGTCTGAGAGGAGCCAGAGTAGATTTAAGCAGGATGAGAAGCCCCCTCCCCCGCAAGGGGCAGGCTGGTAGGCAAGCAGAGCTCTCCGAACGTGTGCTGCCTGGAGGTAGCTGAGAGTAGGACCATCAGCCTCAGAGCTAGGAGTCCTTGGCTAGCCCAGGTTCCCTAGGTGACCTTGGTCAAGGAAATCTCTCTGCTTCTGTAAGCCTCAGTTGTCACAGCTGTGAAATGGGGGTGGAAATATCTCCTTCCTAGAACGCCCAAATAAAGCCAGAAGAAACAAGACGCAAGAAACCAGGTGGTCACATTAGCGGGGGAGGAAACCAGTGTTCCTGAAGGACCTGCCCCTCCTCAACGCGGGCCAGGCGCAGGTTTCGGGGCTCCGGGGAGCTTCCTCAGCCACCCTTCCCCGGGGATGGGGGGCCAAGGTACAGACACCCGCCCGGCGAGGAGACCCCCAATGTCCCCCCTCACTCATTTGTGCCGCGCTAGGAAGGGCATGGGGGGCGGGAGGCCGGACTGCGGCGTTGGGGCCAGAGCACTGTGACTTTAAGAGCCGAGGTTCCCGGACCATGTGCTCGGCGTGAGACAAAAGCAACAACAAAGGAAGTGGCGGCGGCAGGGGGAGGGGGCGGCTCCTTCCTTTCCAACCGCAGCACTCAGCCTCCGCAGCACTCAGCCTCCAGAGAAGGGAGGCTCGACCCGGCCTTGGGGGCTGGGGATCCTCCTTGATTCTAGAGGTCTCTCCTTATCCCCTCTGGACCGTCCGTGATTAACCCCTGCGGAGCCACCTAGATCACAGCCCCCAATCCCAGGGGAGAGGGACAGGAGTTCCAGGGATGCGGAAATAGGGAGTTGAGGCTCTGGCCTCTACTCACCTTGGGCCGCCAGGCCACACGTTGGCTCCTTTGTTCCCGATCTAGGACGGCCAAGCTGGACGGGGGGGGGGGGGCTGCCTGGACCCTTTAAGAGAGCCCCCGCCCTGCGGAACAATGTGCTCCCCTCCCCACCCCCCCGGTCCGGGGGCAGTCCAGCTCCTTCCGGGGCTCTCTCTTTGTTGTCGGTCCGCCGGCGTCTGCCTCGCGAGGCCCACGCGCAGTCTGCCTCTCTCAGCCCAGGCCCTCCGGGAGCGGGAGACGGCGCAGGACGCAGCCGGGTTTGCGCAGCTGCAGGCGGCTGGCCCTTTAAGAACTGTCCGCGGCGGCAGCGGAATGTAACAAACCCCACATTTGATTCACAACATTCGAAGCGGCGGGGTCGCGCGCCGGGCGGGAGGGGGGCTCGCGGGGGCGCGCCGGGAGGTTCCGGCAAACAGTAGCCGGCTGCTGCCCGCGGCAGCCCTGCGAAGAGCTCCGCCCCGCGGGGGCTATGAGAGCCAATCGCTCACCGCGACTCGGCACGTGATTAATGGGACGCCATCTTGAAAGGCAGATTTTCTTAAAACCTCCTCCTTGCCCCCACCTTCGCACTTAAAGTGACCGCCCTCATCACAAGCAGGGGGCGGGGCCACATGGCCTGAGCTAAAGATGGGAGACCCCGGGGTGGGCAAGGCCAACCAGCTGCAACTCGAACTTGCTGTGCAAACTCGTGAACCACTCGCGCCTCTGAGGCTCAGTTTCCCTGCCGGAGAAATGGGTCCCCCTAGAAGAGCCGCAGCCCAGACTTACTGTATCATGGTCTTCTCTTCGGGGACGGGGCGCCTCCTGGGATACTGAAGTGCAATGGGACTGACCTTCGACGAGGCAGGGGCGGCCTCTTAAGCCAGCCCAACTGGGTTAGGAAGGCTCTAACAGCCTTGGGCCGGCAACCTCCCCGGAGATGACGTCAGCCCCAAGAGCTACCGCGCCGCGATGACATCATGGCCTGGCCGCCCTGCATCTCCTTGTTTATACTACGCGGCAGCTTTAAAAAGCTGAGACACCTGGGTTGCCCAACGGACCAATAGCGGGTGACCCATACAAACGAGCTAACGCCTGCGGGGCAAGGGGATTGGTCCTGCGTGCGCCGACGCCACAGAGACACTTAACCGCCCCGCCCCCGGCGTGGCCCGGGAAAGGGGCGGGGAACAGTTTGAAGCATGAGCTGCAGTTGTCCGGCGCTCTGGTAGCAGTCGGCGCGTGGCCGGGAGAGCTTGGTCTCTTCCATGGAGGGCTCCCTGCTTAAGGGTTTTGGAAAACTAAGCCCAAAAAAGTCTTCAGTTTCCTACTGTACTCCTCCCAGCAGCGATGAGAAGGAAGGATTGCTACAGGATTTTACAGATGGGTCAGGAGGGTCAAGGGGGGCGTTACCCACTCACCCCAAGTCACACAGCTATGAAGGGTGGCCGAATAGGTATTTGAACCGAAACCACAGCCAAGCTCGTTCTCCTCTGCTTAATACAGGGGCAACATTATACGAAGTGGGGTATTACCTCCACATCGATTATTTAAGAAAAAAAAATCAGTAATGCTCTAAATATCTAAGAGCTGGGCATAGGCTGAAAAGAATCATGTGCATATGATCAATAACCGGACTGCTCCGCGTGGGAATGCGCTGACATAGGGCTACCCCCTAAACAAGATGCCAATGCAAAATGTTAACATTTATTAAAGCCTGTGTGTAGGGCTACTGAGGGTGGGGTGGTGTCATTTTCTATGCTGCTTTGGTGTACTTCATAACCCCAAATTTAAAAATAAAAATGGAAAGCAATTTGCTTGAACAGGGTGTTACTATGTATCCATTTTGCTGAAAACTGGATATATATCTGCACAGAATACTTCTGGAAGATACAGGAAGCAACTGTCCTCAGGGAGAACTGGAAGAGAGTATGGGATCCGGAGGATAAGACTTTTTTATTGTATATGCTTATGTTCATTTGCTCTTAAAAAACAACAACAACAACAAAAAACCTATACAGGGGTGCCTGGGTGGCACAGTCGGTTAAACCTCCAATTCTTGGTTTCAGCTCAGGTAGTGATCTCAGGGTGGTGAGACTGAGCCCTGCGTTGGGCTCCATGCTCAGCATGGAGTTTAAGACTCTCTCCTGGCTCAGGTCATGATCCCAGAGTTCTGGGATTGAGTGCCATGTCCCTTGCTTGTTCCTTCTCTCTCTCAAATAAATAAAATCTTTTTTTAAAAATTAAAGAAATTCTTAAAAACTACTGTGAAAGAGTATTTTTTTAAATCTTCTAAGCCATAAAAACTTTTGTTCCCTTAAAGTAAGAAATTCAGAAATCCCCCTTCAGGAAAGTTATCCAATGGAAACAACCCAGAAGTTTGGGGAACAGAGATACTTATTCAAGTTTTGTTTAGACCAGCAACAATCTATTATTGCACGGTGATGTGCAGCCAGCAATGCAATGACTGAAGATGGTTCCCAGGGGCACTTTGCAGATATCTAAGCACAGGAGAGCAAGTTCATGATGCAGTACTGTGGATGTTACCTGCCCAACTCTAACCATGCTTTTAATTGTGTATGCATGAGAATGAATGGGGGTATAGAGGGGATGCCTTTCTCTAAGCAACTCCTTTTCATCAACTCTCCCTTCTACTATATCCCTTCCGACCTTTTCTTTCTCCCCATTATGTAAAAGCAACTAGAAAATCCTCCCCTCATTGGAAGGTGCCACGTTGTTAAGACCACCCCCTGCTTGCCTGTGTAGGGACAGAACCTGCAATGGCTCCCTACTGCCTGCCCCTGGTGCTGTCCTTAACCAGCTTCCCCTAGCCTTTCAGGCTCACCTCTCCCCAGTTCTCCCACAGCCACGATGGAGCACCTACTGGCCTTCCCTGCCTGCTATCTTCCTGCCTGTGCTTAGCTGGATTGCCTCCCTCAGATGCCCTCTCTCTTTCTTGCTACCAATCTATTTCTCTTCTCTGTCCTTCAGGGCTCTGTTCCCATCTCACCTCTTATAGGAAGCTCTGGAGTCTCCAGCATGTACTGAACCTCCCCCATCTCTGAACTCAGGGCTAGACGTACCCCAGTCTTCTCTTCTTATCAACTGATTTGCACATAGCCCTGTCACGGTCACTTCACTTCATGTCTCACTCCATAACCCCCAGCTGGCCTAAGGGAATTCATCATCTTTAAGTGCACTATCATCTAAGTGCACCTTCACCGGAAGGGCTCAGTTTATGAGTGAGGATATGAGGCCTAAGGAAAGAAGAGACTTGCCCAAGAGTGACTTGCTGGAGAGAGACTACCTTACCACTCCTGCACCCTCAGAATGCAATTCTTCAGCCACAATCAAGCCAGGTACTTTGAAGCCACCAAACCTCTGACTGTACAACTCTAATTAAAACCTCCCCACCACTCTGTAACTCCAGCAGAACCCTGCTCAGCCTTTGGGGTTCAGCTCCAAGACTGCCTTTGCGAGGCCTCCCTGACCTGTCTTCTGCAGTCAGCTGCCCTGGCTTCCTTAATGCACAGCACAGCTGTTACCACACTGCACCAGGATGGCAGAAAAACCATCTCCATGGGGCTGCTCTCCCCGCCCCCAGCAGGCACTGGCTCACACTGGGCAGCAGATGCTTACGGAAGGGGCTCTGAGTTTGACTCTCACCTCTGATGCTACAGGGCTGGGAAAACCCTGCTCTGTCCTTTAAATGCATGACCTTCTGGCTTACTCCCCTGGGAGGCCCTAAGCAAGCACCCACAGACCCCCAGGGTGCCCCCAGGGCCAGAGGCCAGTAACACTTCTCCTCCTGATCTGAAAAACCTTCCTGGGCACATGCAGAATCACCCTGGAGCAAGTGGGCAGAAGGCTCAATTTTACCAGATTTTCCAGAGAAGCCAGAAGTCTGGGCTTTCCTGTGAAATCCCCTCAGGTTCACCTACAGGTCTGCTTGGGAACCCCAACGTGGTGATATGGCCTGCACACGTACTGTGTGCCCCACTTGCATCCACCCTACTCCACCCTACTCCACCCCTGCCACTTGAAGACAGGTTCTATTTTCATCTCACATATGAGGAAAGTGGTTCAGGAAGTGCCTCTCCTTGCCTCAGATCCCGGAAGTGTGGCCCAGTGGGTTCCAGAGGCCACAGGTGGGGGTGGCTCATTCTTAATCAAGCACGTGCAATGAGGTTCTGTGGAGAAATTCTAGGGTCTCCTGCACAGTCTAAGGAATTCCCATCCTGATCATCTCACTGGTCCTCCCGATGACCAAAGAGCTAGGTGCCAGGATTTTGCAGATGAAGAAATGGGTGAGGAGGGGGATGATTTAGCCATCAAGGGGCAAACCTGGGATCACATTCTAATCTCACATTAAGTTTGGTTCATGCAATACAAATGTCAAAACAGAGTCCCCAAGTGTTGCTCAATAATAAAAAGCACAGATACACCAAGGCAAAAGTAGACCATGGAGGCTCAAGGACTTGTGCATGAGCAGCAGAGGATTCAAATCCCAGTCCCTCCAAGGCAAAGCCCTGGATGTTACAGTCCAGCTTCCACCCACAAGCCTCGTCTTCAGATGGGAGGGATTCCACTTTGGCAGAAAGGGGGGTGGTCATGGATTCCTGCTGGGGCCCTGCCCTCCCTAAGAACTTGGACAGCTGGTTGCCTCCATTCTTCCCTCAGGGTCAGAAAGCACCCCACTCCTTTCTTCTAAGACTCCTCAACTTCTACAGATGCAGGGCCCAGTAGCCTGTAGAGCAGAGATTGAGGGATCACCCAGGGTCACACAGCACAGCCTGGTAGAGCCAGCCTGGGACAAAGACCTCCTAGCTACCACAGAACATTGTGGACCTGAGCCCAGAGCCTCACACACCCCAGATTGGGGGTTGATGGGCTCCCTGCCAAGTCCTCTCTGCTCAGGACATGCCTGAACACACCACCTCCACATCTGAGCTCCAAGCTTTGGCTCCCCTAAAAAGAAGTGGCTGTTTGTGCACATGGGGGTAGGGCAGGGCGTCCATTAAGGTGTTCACAGGCCTGGGGCTCAGGTCGGGGGTACTTTTAGTTCTAAGTTGGGTCAGTTATTTGGCTTCTCTCTACCTTAGTTTTATCTGTAAAATCAAGACAATAACACTAGTGACACATGGTATTTACTGAGCACTTAGTGTGCACCACTATTATTCATCTCCTATAGGCTACTGAGGACAGGCACACACTGACGGTTAAATACAGAGCCTCTGGTCAGCCTGTCTGGGCTTGGAGCCTGGCTCTCTGCCTCTTATTAGCTATGTCATCTTGAGGAAATCACTACCTTTTTACAGCTCAGTTTGGCCAGGGGTAAAACGGAGGGGACAGTACCTACCTCAGTGTTGTCAACAGTTTCTCCCACTATGTGTGCATCTTTGACCTGACCTGCCCAAC